ATTTCATTTTAAAATAATTGAAGATTCCACATATAAATTTTTAATCAAACTTAAATTATTTGACTCAAAAAATATAAATTAGAAGGAAATACTTTTTGGATAAATATACTTTTCCTCCATACGATCACATGTATACATGTCTGCCGAACTATGTATTTATTTTCTTCATTAGTCTGCGGAATATCAAAATGGAAAATTTCTTAGCAGTCTCCACTCTCCGGTTAGTATAAATATGTGAAAGCCTTACAAGCACAAATCATCACTCGCCTTTCTCTCTCTTCTGCAAAACGATAAAGTGTGTGTTCGCCGGCGCTCAATTCGAGGAGATTTAGAGTGACAGAAAACGGTGTGTTCACCGGCGGTTATTCCGATCTGCTCAGTTTAACATCGACTCGGAGAAGAAAGAGTACGTGTGTGTGTGTTCGCCGGCGGTTATTTCGATTTGTTCAGTTTAATACTGTTTGATAATAGTCGAAGAGAAGAAATCGGAAATCAGAAAATGGCAGCTCAACCGAAGAATGTCGGAATTCTCGCCGTCGAGATTTACTTTCCTCCTACTTGCCTACAGCAGGTACTTTCTCTTTCTCACACATACACATACACATACACTTGTGAAACTAACGGCCTGTTTGGTTAAGTTTTTAAGAGATCGGAAATGCTTATTTGAGCTGTTTAGTGTTTAGTCAAATTTTTGGAGAAAATACTAACTGAAAGTTGTTTTTGAAGCTTAAAAAATAAAATAAAATAAATTCCGATAGTACTTTTTGGAAAAAAATTAAATTAGAAACAGTTTTGAAAAGTTTAGAATTGTTTTTCAAATGGACACACATTATTTTTCACTTAAAAAATAGTACAAGCTTATTTTTGAAATTTAGCCAAACAGGCTATAAACTTTGATTATATAATTTATAGATATGTGTGTTAATTACTTTGATTACTTGAATGCTTAGCAGACTATATTAAGTGCTTTAAGTTGGTTGAGAATTTGGGAAATTTTAATTTTTGTCACTTTCTTATACGGAATTTTCTTTTCTTTATTGTCTTTTTTTTTAAAACAAATTAGAATATCTTTTTTTCATATGTTTTATTTCTGGTAAAATATTCCTTAAATGCTTTTTTTTAATCTCTTTTTTTAGTTCAAAATCCCTTAATTGTTTCATATAGAGATTCATAGCTCCGCCTAACAGTGCATATATGAGCATAAACTTTATTCCCTCCGAGTCAATTTATGTTGTACAGTTTTGACTTAACACAGACTTTAAAAAAATGAAAGACTTTTGGAATTTGTGGTATAAAATAAATTTTAGATATATGTGTGACTATGATAATAATTTAAAGTAAAGTTATTTCTAATTATGAAAAAATGTTTTTTTTTTGGGACAGACTAAAAAGAAAAAGATGTCATGTTAATTGTGACAATTATTAAACTATTATATTTTTACTCTGTTAATTGAGACAAGTTTAAGGCAATTAAATTCTGATCACTTGCAAAAAGAAAAAGAAAAAAATTCATTTTGTTTTGCATTATATAGGAAGCATTGGAGGCTCATGATGGAGCAAGCAAAGGGAAATACACAATTGGTCTTGGACAAGATTGTATGGGCTTTTGCACCGAGGTGGAAGATGTTATATCAATGAGGTACGTCTCCCTCGTCGGAAAATTACATTGCATAAATTGGTCATATTTTTCTTTTTATGTAGATAAACACTTCTCCGTGTGTTTAGTTCTTTATATTCTGAAGTATGTAGTTTGAAGGTGTTAGTAGTTTCTTCTGCTAGATGAACAACATGATAAATTTATCATTGTAATTTTTGTCACTGTACTGTCTTCTAATTAAATTGTTCATGCTCAGTTTGACAGCAGTTACTTCCCTTTTGGAGAAGTATGCTATTGATCCAAAGCAAATTGGTCGTCTAGAGGTTGGAAGTGAAACCGTAATTGATAAGAGCAAATCCATCAAGACATTCCTGATGCAAATATTTGAGGTACACAGTTCTAGCAATGCTTGTTTAGTAAATCGTCTATCATGGCACGTTCAATGAATCGAATATGTGTTTTATGACTTGTATCCTAGACTTCTGGCATATAAGCAAACCGATTGATCGACCAAAATGAAAATTAGATAGTTAGAGATTTACTCACTACACACTAGCTCAAGATGATGAATATATCTTGCAGCCAAGTATTAGGACAGAGATTTCAAATGTTGGATCCGCTTAATTCTGCCTGAAATATGTTGTAATGTTAACTTTTTGGCCCTGAATGCACTTGCTCATCCTGTTTGTTGAAAAAAGTGAGTTTATTGTTTGTTGTACATCATCCTTAAACATTGATTGTTGCATCTGTTTTGTCTTACGATGATATGAAATGAGCTTAAGTGAAGAAGTGGGGATTCATATACCCGCGCAACTTGTTTGAGGCTTGACACGTAGTTATTATTGTTGTTGTATGTGATTTATTTTTGTCTCACTTGACATTCCACTTCCCAAGCAGAGCTTTACATTATGACTAACAGGAATTTTGTTCAATGAAAACTTATCCTGCTTCCTTACTGTGTCAAAAAAGCAGACATGTGGAAATACTGACATTGAAGGAGTCGACTCAACTAATGCATGCTATGGGGGAACTGCCGCATTGTTCAACTGTGTGAATTGGGTCGAGAGCTCTTCATGGGATGGTCGCTATGGACTCGTTGTATGCACTGATAGTGCGGTAAGCTCATCACATTCATAGAATTTCTACAGCATATGTGTTGTCTTCAAAATATTGAGTTTGCATTGCTCATTTGGTACATATTTGTGATGAATTTGAGCATCTGCATGATAAACATTCACTAATTTCAGGAGCTTATTTTGACAGGTCTATGCTGAGGGAGCTGCTCGGCCTACTGGAGGTGCTGCAGCAATTGCTATGCTAGTCGGGCCAGATGCTCCTATTGTGTTCGAAAGCAAGATTAGGGCTAGCCATATGGCCCATGTCTATGATTTTTACAAGCCCATCCTCGACAGTGAATATCCAGTAATTCACTTGAGCCCATGCAATCGTTAATCATCTGTTTTTACACAGGAGTGCTTTGATATGTTGGTTACTGGACAAAATTTAAAAGAAATATATAGGAAATTGTTTATTGGTATATGAATTTCCATATGTGCTCTATATGATGGTTAATTGGTAATTAATTGTTGGTTTGCAGGTGGTTGATGGCAAGCTTTCACAAACTTGTTATCTTATGGCACTTGATTCTTGCTACAAGAGCTTATGCAACAAGTAAGCTGCCGGTTGAGCACACATTCTAGTATTCCAAACGAACCTCTCTATTATAGTCTTTAATAATCTCTTTGTTCACATTCTAGATTCGAAAAATTGGAGGGCAAGCAGTTTTCGATTGATGATGCAGCCTATTTTGTTTTCCATTCACCATACAACAAGGTACTTTATGGATCCAATACAGAATTTTGATCTTTTTTCTTTGTGATGATAAGGATTACCTGAACGTTTGTTTTATTTAATCCTGCAGCTTGTACAGAAGAGCACTGCTCGGTTGATGTTCAATGACTTTACAAGGAACGCTAGGTGGGTTGCACATATTCCGTACTAAAGGAATTGCTTTTTATTTTGTAAACGGAATTCAGTTGACTGATCTTATTCGATTTTGCATTTGCAGTTCCATTGATGAGTCTACTAAAGAAAAGCTGGCACCATTTTCATCCCTAACTGGTGATGAGAGTTATCAAAGCCGTAATCTTGAGAAGGTCCATACATAAGCTTTCATATTCGTTGATTTCGTAGAAATATTGTCTTCTTTTTTATCATTTTCAAATGGCTTTGTTTTGATCTTCCAGTATATGTTTAGAACGCTGAAAATGAAGCTTTCAGTAGGAAGAATTGCATTAACAATTATACATGTTGAGATTGGAACTAACTAAATATTGCATATACAGACATCCTGGCAAGTGGCAAAACCATTTTATGACGAGAAGGTAAAACCGACCACATTAGTACCAAAACAAGTTGGCAACATGTACACCGCGTCTCTCTATGCTGCTTTTGCATCCCTCCTTCACAACAAGCACAGCTCATTGGTAACTACGAGCTACTTCTTTTCCTTTTGGCCTGTTTTCTTGCTATAATCTATCGTGTTTCTTATAATTTCAAATGATTTTGTCAACTCAGGCTGGACAGCGGGTAGTCTTGTTCTCTTACGGGAGTGGGTTGACTGCAACAATGTTCTCATTAAAGCTTCACGAAGGTCAACATCCTTTTAACTTGTCCAACATTGCAGCTGTGATGAACGTTGAAGAGAAATTGAAGTCGAGGCATGAGGTATGATAAAATCGTCTTTATAATTTACTCATGGACGTTGAACTCGTTGCCAACACTGTGACGGTTGAGTTCCTTAACTATCTTTGACAAACAATCTTTTGTGCAGTTCACTCCTGAAAATTTCATCGAAACGATGAAAATAATGGAGCACAGGTATGGGGGTAAAGACTTTGTGACGAGCAAGGATTGCAGCCTTCTAGCTCCAGGCACTTACTACCTCACAGAAGTCGATTCGAAGTACAGAAGATTCTATGCCAAGAAATGTACTGAGAATGGACTTGCCAATGGTCATTGAAGATATGTCCTAGTATGATGTAACTTCCATGAAATTGGCTTGTACTCTTTTAATTATTGTCAGCACATAGAGGAATAATAATTACTTCATAATAACATATAGTACTAGTTTGTTTCTACTTTCCAACAAATTCAATATTGTTTCTTGTATTCTCATCTGTTTGAGAGATGATTTAAAAAATCATCAATGTAATGTAGTCTTATATATGAATTGAGAAAAACTATATTTTGAGATCGGCTATATGAATCCATTGCATCATTCGTTCTTACATAGTATCAACTATTACAAGATCAAATCGCAAAATAAAACTCCAGAAATAATATTGAAAAAATCAAGAATAAATGCTTGAGAAGTCCAAAAAAACATAGGACTACATGATCATTAGTTGAAGTTGACATTGGCTTGATAAGTCATTCCTACTTGCCAACTAGAAGGTGCAACATTAGTAGCTATAATTGTTTCTTTAGATGTGTAAGAAGTGATCTTAAACGAAAGTGTTTGGCCACTTAGAGTTGCAAATGCTTGATATGAAGCTCCCCAATTATGGCTCATAGCTAACCAACTTGTTTTAGTTCCCTTCACCCACATACTTGCAATATCTCCACTTCCACCAACATTCATCACATATACCAATAACCAATACCCATTTCCTTGAAGACTAAACTTGATTCCACCTTTTTTAACACAGGGTACCCTACAACCATGAGAGCAATGGTACATGTTAGAGGTAGTAAATGTCGGATGGAATAATCGAGGTGCACACAACTGATTCTACCACTATTATATAATTATCAATTTGTTTTATTTAAACGCATATTAAGCACAAGCGTATTTGTGTGTGTCCAAAGGGTGTCTATTGAAATTCTTTTCTCGGAAAATTACACCATCTTTGATGTTATATTTCATTATAGGTATACATATTTTTTTAAAAAAATTCTTGCTACACTTATAATTATAGTTTGAGTTGATGGCAACAAATTAAATTTAACTCAAAAAAACTCGCCTTAAAAGTTTGTTTTTGCAACATCTAAGGTAAATAACACATCATGCCCTAGGAATGGAAGAAAATCCTAATATGCAGTACTTCCTCTTTTAATGAGTCTTACATGAAGCCCGAAATAGTCAGGACCCAAAACACATATCAAGAATCAGGTGATAAAACAAAGATTAACATGTTAATTTTTTTTAGTTTTCCATCCGATTACTTTAGTGCCCAATTAATCAGATTCTCACCGAAAAGTCCTATTATAAGGGGGTAAAACGTTCTCTCTACTAAAGGCGACTTCATTTCTAGGGATTGAAAGCGAGACCTTTGGTTGGAGGAGTACTTACAACTCCACCACAACCTTTGACAGTCACTAAAATATTGAAGACATAATACATAAGTAGACACTCAAACTTGACCTCAGTTGTCAAGTAAGCACTCAAACTTTGAAAACATACATCTAAACACCTTAACTTGGTCTCAACTGACAACTAAACACTCTAACTCATTCCTACTATGTATCATGGACACCCGACACGGTGACACATAAATTTTGGAGGTGTCTAAATTATATCATTTTGTAAGTTGGAATGTTCAACTGACAGAGTGGAGACGAGTTGAGATATGCATACTCAAAATTAGAGTGCTTACTTGCCTGCTAAAACCAAGACTGAGTGTTTGTTTATGTATTATGCCAGTATTAAATGTTCAACCACAAAATGAATCATTTACCTGCGATAAGAAACAGGGACAATTCCAGCCTTCCATTGAGCAATTTTCATGAAAGCAGGTTTGGCCATATCAAAATGTGTTCTAGGTGGATTACACCAACCACCATTGTTACTGTCTTGTGCAGGATTTGGTGGACAGAGATTTGTTGCTGTCACTGTTACAATTGTTGAGTAGCAAGAGTCTGACTGCACACATTTTATTTGGAAACATTGTCCACATGCAAATCCCTTGCTGTATAATACTGAGCTCAATGCTGCTGTATCTGTTCCATAACCTGATGTGACCAAATTTCCAAATCCACAAGATCCCCCTACAAAAAGATTTCACATTATTAATTAGTGTGTTTTTATCTGTTGTAGCAGGTAATCTATCTTATTTAGCAAGTTAACAAGAAAGTATTACAGTGTAATAATTACACTATCAGTGTGTTTTAACTTTTATCGTTCTTTGAGCCGAGGGTCTATCGGAAACAGACTTTTTGTTTTCTCAAGGTAGGGGCAACATCTGCATACACTCTACCCTGATCCCAAGATCTCACTTGCAAGATTAATTACACTTGAGTTTTGTTGTTGTAGTAGTAGGTAATATGTCTTATTTTGCAGGTTAATGCTACGTTGCTTGTACTCTTAAAAAATGTAGTCTGACACGTATTGATTCTTTCAAAGATAGTGTATTTTTAGAGGATACAATATTGATGCGACATCTTTCTTAGATATTCTAGAGTTACATAGGGTTACTATTGCGTTTCTTGTAAAAGATTGTGTTGGTGCTAATGAATTGCGTGATCTTTTAGATTTTTCTAGTAGGTCTAACAAGTTGAAGTAAGAGTTTAAATTCTACGTACTGACCAATATAAAAAGAATATTTACGCAATGAAAATGTCCTTAAAGAATCCGTGTTTTCTAATAGTATAACATGCTATCACAAATTAAAATTTATTGATAGTGTGTAAAATACTTTTGTACTTACCCATATATATAACTTAAATCATTAGAATACATATTGAGGATGTCTACAATTGGTATGGTAGTATAATGAAATGCTTTTATAAGAAACATATTCCACCATAATAATATCACTCATTGCTAAAATAAGGCAATACTTCTACGTGAATTTTCGCTATTTATATATGTACAACGTCATAATAATGAATATAAATCAAAATAGTTTATCGATTAAGTAAACGCACCCATGGTAGCTGAAGCACTCTCATCGCCATAGAACGTAGCATGAGAGGGTTGCCAAGCTGTTGCTTGAAAGCCGCTAGGGGTGTCACCATAGCCCGCGCCATTTACTCGATCGATGATTGCTAATGTTGCAACCACCAAGAACATTGTCAAGCTCCATCTATGGTGAAAAGAGGCCATGAAAAATTAGCTTACAATCAAGAAAATTGTAATGGCTTATTTGATTTTTGTAAAGATATAAGACCTTAATATATAGTTTTTTTTTGTGTGTATAAATTATGTTACAAAAATGTAACACTTCGTGCCAACACGAACAATGTAACCTTTATAAGTCAACTTTGGTATTTGAAAATTAATTATGTTTCATAGAAACGTGCTGGCAGGTTATAAACTTACATGTTGTACATTACTATTGTTATTCAGTGCCATTTTCTTGATTTATTGTTTTCTACAAATAATGGAGAACTCATTTTTGAACAAATAGACACATTCTACGTGTCATTTTTGTTTCCTATGTGGCATCCTACTTAAATTATGACGTGTGTGTCTACTTGTTCAATTTTAAACAAGTTTAAGTGTCTACTTGTACACCCCCAAAGCTGGAGGGCGTAATGTTGGCTGAAGCCAAGTTAAAGGCATATTTATGCGCCTGTCACAGCGGTGGGCGGTGGAATTTTTATGCCCAACTATTAGTGGGTGACATGGATAGGTCATTTCATTCTCGATAGTTTAATGACATGTTTAAGCCTTTTCATAAGATAAAATAACTTCAGAAGAGAAGCTCATTAAAACTGTTATTTTTTTTTTTATTGATATACTTATAGTCACACACAATACATTACATAATATATTCACACAATACAAGTTGCAAATCATTCACAAATTCAATACTGAACTTGTTTTTCATTTTCACAAACTGCATCATATGGTCTCTCTTCCATGCCCAGCTTGTGTTAAAGAGCAAATCTCTTGTGCAGATATCTCCATATATAAAATCATCCTGCAGTTTGCAAGAAATCAGTAAACGGAACGGGTTTTCTATACGAAGGAAGCACATATATTAAGGGCGATTGGCTCAAATCATGTATTTGTGTTATGAAATTCACGTAATATGTATAAATGATATATTCAGAGAACCCAATAAACAAAAGGGGTTGTGGTCCGGAACTTATAAGTTAAAGTCCTGGATCCCCCTCCCCCTCTGATATATTATACTTCTCCATACAAGCGATAATATATTATCTCTCAGACTCTCCAAAACTGTTGAAGCACCTGTATAGGATTCTCCAAAAATGCAATGCTTTTGGAGGATTTTGACACACACTTGGTGGTACTTTTAAACAATCTGAGCAGCATAGGTTATAATAGATAAAAAGGCTAGGCCTAGCTAGGTATATACCTCGAATCATGCACTACTTCCTTCAGGCAATGTAATCAAACGCGTATCTGAATCATAGACCAAGTCTGTCCCACAACTGCGGAAGATGATGGTGATGACGATTACACTATGAATAGATCATGATAAACATCGAAAAACTAAAGTGTTAATGTCAACTTACCCTGAGCATTTTACTTTGTTGCTGGAACCCTCATTAGATACCGATAATATTGTACCAAAGAAGGAAGTATTCTCTGTTCCACAATTCGGACAGGGGCCCTAAAGATGGAGATTATGTGTGTTAAATGTCGAACACATAGCTTCTAAGATAATACTACGCACGCCTGAAATGTTCATGAGATCTTACCTTTAAGATCAGAAAATCTTTAACAATGGCGTTTGTGATTGTAAAGGATAGCCATAATATCAATGGCAAAGCAGCAAACCATGTGAAAATGAAACTGAAAGGCTCTGGAAGCTGCAAATTGATAAATTATATCATTACAAAGTCTAATGAATACTCTGATCTTTCATCTAGCTAGTTATTTTACTCGGACCCTCCAAAAATGATGCCCCAGCCGTTTTAGATCTTCCAAAAAGGTGTAACTTTTGGAGGATTCAGCATACACCCAGCGGTATTTTTGAAGAGTTTGATACCTTAGCAATGAAATAAGGACCAATACAGGTAACAAGGCGTACCTCCAAAAGATAAGTGATCTCGAATCCAGTCAAATCGTCTAGGAAGAAAAACCTAGCAAGACATTGGCAAAACATTTCTATTACAGAAAAATCATGCTAGTTGCTTCGTGAGCTAAGAACACGGATATGTGTGGTATCATTAGTTCACATATTCTTTTAACATCGTAAAACAGTCAAGTATTACTCACAATCCGAGAGCAACAACAGCAGCAGGGACATTTAACAAGAACATCTTCAGATAATCAACAGAAAGGTCACTATAAACCTGCACGAAGTAAAGTCCATCAACCAACTTAACCTCGTAGACATCTTGCATAGATGTAAGACGAAGAACAAGCATTTCCACAAGAGTACGACATGAAAGATGAATATGAATTATAATAAGACTAGTAAATCCCATCGAGCAGAGAAGTACAAACCTTTCTACTTCGAAGACTGCACCTTGGACCCTCAACCACAATATTGCTGCCATCCCTCTACAAAATTAAAAGATGTCAATACAGAAAAGACTAAAGAGTCGTTTGGATATAATACGAACAATATTGCGATCCAAATAACAACTAATGTCCGAGCACCTTAAGTTTCATCTTCAGCTTGTCATATTCTTTATCAGTCATAATTGGATTTCCAGATACATAAGCCATAGAAGCTTCGAGAAACCTCTGTTCATCGGGGCCTGCATAGTGAGAAACCGCTATTACTACACCTTTTTTAAGTCCCGATCAGACAAAAATACGAATACCATATCATCATTTAGACAATGTATAATACAGAAATTCTTCCATACTTAGCATGACGACGCTGCTTCCTTCCCACATTAATTCTTCCTTAAGGTTATCAAATTCCTCATTTGACATCATGGCCTTTCCTTCATAATAGAATGACTGTGGTACAACGCCAGGAAAGAGTGCAATTAATGTTGATAGAAGACAAAAGAAAACAATCAAGAAATAAGAGATCGTAGATGCTTAAGTACTTGTAGTGCTTGAAGAAACTCTTGCTCCATTTCCCCGAGAGACTTCTTTCCTTTACCGTCAATGCTACAATACTGCAAGATTTTACTGTCTTCAATCTCATCCTCCTTGAGCTGACCTGAAAGCAAAAGCGGGATCCCCAAAGTTGGAGGACATAGATGTCAGTTGAGTCCAAGTTAATGTATTATGTCAATTAAATATATCAACCATCTATGAATTTAGTACTATAACAATCAAATTGAAATTAGCATAACCAATTTCAATATCCATTAATCAACATACAATAGTGATAATATTAATCTCTAACTTTTCAAAATAAGATTCAAATAACCGATCCTTTTGTTGGGCTAAAACAACCTAAAGATACTCTTAACATGGAGTGATACCGTCCTTTAGGTCAAGCCTACACGATTTTTCTCAAAAGGCCTCACATCCCTTCTTGTCGGGAAGGAGAGTAGGTTGAAAACATCTAGGGGCAGAGCTGTAGTATTAGCTGCGATGAACCCCACTAACTAAAATAAGCTATAGGTTCGACTGTAAATGAACTATAAGTTCAAATCATGACTCCGCCTCTAAAGCATCATTAAAATACTTCTAACATCATAAAGAAAAAAAACATGCAGTGGCAGAGTCGGAGCCAAGTAGGACTGAAGGGTTCGTCCGAATTACCCTCTAGTGGAAAATTACACGGTTGAAATCATCTTTTATGTATATATATATAGCAGATGTTGAACCCTTCAAATTTTTCGTATTTTTATCCCCTCAATCAAAATCCTGGTTCCACCGCTAAGCAACGGATCCAAAGTGAAACTTATGGGTTCCTGAATTCAGTAGCTTTTGCCCGAACTCTCTATAGTATCAAAAACTCCACTAAAATTTATAAATATTTGACTATGAACTCATCGAGGTTAACTTACCTGGCTGATCGGTGGTGGCCTTAGGAGAGAGAAACAATAGCCTACGTCGAATAGATAACTTTCTTCCACCAAAATTAATCAAAGGGCTTACAGAATTGGGAGAAAAAATTGGTTTTTTTCTAAACGGAGCATGAAAAAAGCGACTGCTTGTTGTTATAGTGAATCCAAATTTGGTGGCCATTTCTGGCGGCGACTGCGGCGGAGATGGATGGAGTGTAGAAATGAATATTGCATTTGTGAAAAAAAAATTGTTAAGTGGCAATTTGATGGGGTTTTGGTAACGATGAAGATAAGGTTATGTGATGAATGTGTGGAGGGTATTCAAAATTGAAAAAAACAAAAACTTTTTTGTTTTCTTGGTTAAAATTCTATCGGGATAAATTCGTTCATGTGTAATAACTAGTAAATTACAAAGAAAATGTAAATTGCATTGGAATTGTTAGATGGAACGAGCTCATCTGAAAAAATGTTAACAAGATAAATGAATTTAAAATTTCACTTATGAATACAAATTATTAAACTTTTTTGTGTTGATAAAACTCAAGAAAATCAATTTTCCATTTTTTAGCAGTTATTTGATGTAACAGAATCTGCCAAGTCAGCTTCATGATGTTGTCAAGAATATTTGGTTGACACGTGGCTGCTTGTTGCTTTCATGTATCTGCCACGTAAGATTGATCTATCAAGGCCATGCAACTTTGGGGGGGGGGGGGGTTATGATAATAATTTCAAAATAATACGTTATGATTATTTTATTCTGTGTTTGGTTATTTTAAAATAATATGTATAATTTCATTTTGATGTAATTTTTTTTTATCTATCAAGGCCATACCACTTTTTTTTCACGTTATTTAGAGTATCAAACATTTTATCGGTAATTAATTTTCTTCTAAACTATTAATATGAATTTTATCTTCACATATTCAATAATATGTGCTATAACAATTTATTTGTTTCACTTTTCAGTTGAGTGACCTCACTAATTATTGATGTAGTTAACATATAATTATTTTTTAAGTGATTTAATAGAATAAAATTCTCTTTGATTATGCAAATTTGCTCAGCATATTCCGTTGATTATCAGTTTATTCAGCTCTTTGTTATGTCATTTCCCCTAGCAACTAGTTTTAATTTCTAATTTAGGTATCATGCCAAGTATATATGGAACAATTAAATATTAATTTACCATCAATAAAAGAAAATAATTAATTGTCATTTTTCAAAAAATTTATAAGTTCAAT